TCAACCAACTTGGGGGAGCCCCTTCTCTCCTCTCTGTTGAACTTGCAAACAGTTTAGTTTGTTTTTGTCAAGGTTGAAGACTGCATAGTCATGCAGGCCTCCTAAAGACTCCTCCCAACACACGGGCAGGATCTGGTGAACCAGAGAAATCATGATGGGAAAAGCAGAGGCAACTTCAGGGAGTAGAAACAAATGTTTCAGTAATTTACTTTTGTCTGCTCTGACCAAATGTTTCTTACAAAGCAGTGCAAATCTGCTAACACAAAACCTTCCTGGAGACGATTACCTGAGATGGTAAAGTTTAACTACAGGCCTCATATAGAACAACAATCAAAGCAGGTGAGGTGCTTGACTTGTTAAACCATACCACAACTCAGAGGAAAAGTACAACCATTTGTCCGTTGCTTCATTTCTGCAACACTGAAAAACTGGAAAATAACCTAAATGCCAATCAATGGGAGACTGGTTAAAAGAACTATCATATGCTACCAATAAAATACTAGAACCCATTCAACAGAATGAGGAAATTGGCATGTTACCAAAGTGGCTCTGTTTTTTAAAGTTATTTATTTATTATTTACATATTTATAATATAAAAATATTTATTTAAATTAAACAATATTTAACATAAATATTAAAACAAATCTTTCTAAAGTGCAAAGTTTTTTTAAGTTTTTTAAAAACGTTTTATCCTGAAATATTTAGGGACTCATGAGAAGTTACAAGAATAGTACAGTAAGTCCTACCATCTAGCTTTCCCCAGTGGGACACTGAAAATATGTCCTAAAGAAAAACAAAGTAGGTTACAGAATGGTATATATGGTAGGATCCTATTTGTGTAAAAATAACAGTAAATGTATCAAATTGTTAGTACTAGATATCTCTGGGAACAGCAAGAAAAAAAAGAGAGAAATGTATTGCTTTGAATAACTATACTAGAAAAGATTAGAATCTGAGAGCCAGAAAGCAAATATCTACCTCAGAAATTAGAAAAAGATTGTCAAATTAGGCTCAAAGTAGAAGGAAATCATTACAATGAGAGCACAAATTAATGAGATAGGAAATACACATTGTAAAGGATCAAAAGATCATCAAAAACATAAAAGTTGTTTTATTTTAAAAATTAGTAAAATTAATAAACTCATTGGAAGGATCAAGAAAAAAACAAGAGTAGGCACAAATCAGCACTGTCAGGAGCACTAGGTGCATCGCGTGAGCCTTACAGCCATTAAAGTAGTAATCAGAGGATGTAAATTAAAATTTTGTGCCCACCAACTGGAAAATGTAGTGGAAAGAAGCAAACACTTAGAAAACAATACAACGTACAAAAGCCGACACAAGCAAAAAGAAAATTCAGGAAAATCCTTATGCTGCCTATTATTCATTTTCACTTCATTTCCTATTCTCCCCAAGAACAGCAAAAGAGGGAACACTCCCCAACCTATTTTATGCAACAGCATAAACAAACCTGACAAGGATATGATAAAAAAGAAAAATCACAGCCAATCTCACTTATAAAAGTAGATGCAAAAATTCTGTGGCAGCCTGCCTCCAGGGTGGCCCTCATGACCTCTGCCTCTAGGTAGTCCTACCTTTGTGCAGCCCCTTCCCAACTGGCCTGTGTGACCAACTGTATAGAGCAGAAGCAGCCTGTCCTGACACGCAAACAGTATAGGTCACTTCTGAAGTTAGGTAATAAAAGACATTGTGGCTTCTGTCTTGGTGGCACATTCTCGCTTGGATAATTAGCTCTGGGGAAGCCAGTTGTCCACAGAGAGCCACATGGAGAGGAAACATAGCCTCTAGGCAATAAGCATGTGAGTGGGAGAAAGAGTAGATGGGTCAGCTCCAGGGAAGCCTTCAAATGATTGGTTATTTCTCATTAAAACATGTTATGTTAACATTCTTTGTGATTGTTACTTTTTAATTACTTAATTCATATCTTTTTCAGTTTTTGCAGCTTTAATCTATAATATGGTAATAGAAATAGGTACAGCTCACGTTAACAGAAGTTCTTTGTGGTCTTCAATAATTTCTAAGAGTATGAAAAGGATCCCAAAACCAAAGAGATCAAGAACTGCTGGTCTAACAACAAATGTCGGCAAGGATGTGGAGAAATGGGAACCCTCCCACCCTGTTGGTGGGAATGTAAATTGGTGCAATGTCTCTGGAAAGCAGTATGGAGGTTCTTCAAAAAACTAAAAATAGAAATACCATTTGACCCAGTAATTCCACTCCTAGGAATTTACCCGAAGAAAACAAAATCTCTAATTTGAAAAGATACCCCCATGTTTATCGCCACATTATTTACAATAGCCAAGATGTCCATCAATAGTGTCCATCAATAGATGAATGGATAAAGAAGATGTGGTACATATAGGCAATGGAATATTATTCATCCATAAAAAGAAAGAAATTCTCCCATTTGCAGCAACATGGTTGGGTCTAGAGGGTATTATGCTCAGCGAAATAAGCCAGGTAGAGAAAGACAAAGACCATATGAATTCACTTACTTGTGGAATATAAAAACCAAGCAAAACAGAAGGAACAAAACATCAGCAGACTCAAAGACACTGAGAAGAGACTAGTGGTTACCAAGGCAGAGGGGTTGGGGCGTGTAGGAGAGGTGAGGGAGAGGAAGAGAAAGGGGCACTGTAATTCACATTCACAATATAGGTAGGTCTCAGGGACTGTTGAACCACCGTGAGGTACATTTAAAACCAACACAAGATTGTATATTAATGATACTTTAATAAAATAAAAAGAACTGCTGATCTAAGTTCTAAGGATTTGCTGCAGTTACTGTTACATTTTAAGAATACATGATAACTTCATGTTAGCATGTTTTATTACTGACCCTTTATGAAAGTGACATTCTGCATGTAAATGAATCTGAAGAACTCACAGTTACACAGAACTGCAAGTTCCAAAGTAAACTTGCAACCGGACTTGCAACCAGAGTAAGTTTATAATGCTCAGAATTGCTCAAGGAGGCATAGGGGACAGTTTGTCTCTAACCTTTGTGGTATTATTACCTGTTGCTCCATTTAAGCAGCAGGCATGAAATAAATACTAACAGCACAGTGATTTTAAAGATGAAGAAACCAAACTTCAGTCACTTCAGTTCTGTCATAATGAGTGACTACTTTGAGTTTTTCATCAGTGTTTAAATTTTAAAACAGCAAACAGTGTGAACTGCCAAGTGTGATATTTTGTTTGGGTAAGTATGAATTTTAATTCACACATAAAATATTTTATTCAGTTTGAATATCTTTCAAAATTGTAGTTGATTTTTAATTGCATTCAAATGAAAGAAAATCAAGAAAGTAATAATTACTAGTGATTATTACATGATTATTACTGAAAATAATTATGTCTTATAGAGGAAGGAAGTGTTAAAAATGAGCAGCTGATGTCAGATCTAATACTGTCACCACTCCTCCAGGAGATCAGGACAGTTGCATTCCCCGCGTCCAGTACGACACTTACCACATAGTAGAATTACCAAACATCATCTATTGACTGAAATATTATGGATAAAATGCCTGCTTTGGCCTCAAGTGGAGCTGAATACCAGTCTGCTCCTTCCAGAGTATTCCTTGGGCAACTTACTTTCTTTGAAGAATGTCGAGTGGACACAAGAAGAATATGTTCTTCAAAGGGTGCTGGGACCCTGCCCAGACAATCTAGAACAGGGTCTATACATAAAATGTATGAATGCTCTCCCCAGCATATGAAATGCAATGAACTCCCCAATTTACTGAGTTTAGTGCTTGACACTCTAATGATCATTTTGGGGGCTTATAGAATGTGTTGGGGTAAACTAACCTATCTTAAAGAGACAATCAGAAATACCCACTTCAAAATTGGGCATTTTTAAATTAGAAAAAACTAAAAAGACAAAGAAAAATTTAAAAGAAGTTTCTTCTGAAGAAGAAACGTTAGTTCCTCCTCAGTCACACAGGTCAGCAGTCTTAGGCTCCTAGAGATGCAAAGATACTCTTTATACATCAGTTAAAACCCAGGCATTTTCTGCATGATTCCAGCTGTGGTTTTGTGAAGGAAAAGTCAAGTTTGCCGAGGACTTCCCGGCTTTAAATTCGTTGGCACCAATTTCAAGCCTGGTGCCAAGACTCCTGGGTCACTTATTACGGAATGTGGGGTGGGGGAAAATTAGGCAAGAAGAACGCTGAAACTTTGCCAGGAATATTCGATGGATGCAAAGGCTGCCTCCCTTCCCCTTGTTCCTCCGCATCTCCTATATAATGTGTGTTTCATTTTAATGCGTTTGAAACATCTCATGAACACATTTTTGCATTTTCACGAGATGACTTCCTTGGCGGTGTTAAACAATTGTTCCAGTTTTGAAAATTAGGAAGAAAATAAACTCGGGTTAAAAAGGCACAAAGTGTATTTCTGATCCTTCTTTGTGGTTTAGGTAAAAATCAAATTAGATCTCCAAGTCTATTTTTTCTCCTTTGATTATTATGCTACTCTTCAAAGGCTCTTGGGTGTCCGGGGCCACCTAACAGGTGCGCACTCTGCCTTAAGGCTGTGCGTCTAGACCTGAAAACTGGCTTTCCAAAATCCCTGACACTCTCCGGGCTGTCTGCGAAGCTGCGGAGGGGACGCCGCCAGGGCTCCCCGACTGCCCTGAGCCCGCGGCCCCAGAGCTGCTCAGAGCCTCGGGTTCCAAGTTCTCGAGATCCACCCTACACATTTCCGGGGACCAGAGACCTCTTCCACGTTTCCAACCCGCAAGCCAGTGTTCCCTGGGGCGCAGCATTCAGGCCCCCAACGGCATCCCCCAGTGCCGTCCCCTTCCCCGCTGCTACCGCCTACGGTGGGGGAGGGTGGGGGGCGGGTGGGACTTAACTGAGAGACTAACTGCACTGTCCCTCCGCGCAGGAGTCAGCAGCCCCCGCACCCGGCCGCTCGCCCACCGCGCGCCGGCGGGCCAAGTCTGACCTCCCTCTCCTCTGGGCTCCAGGGGCACCCACCTGGCCAAAGTCATCCCAAATACTGTCGCCTGGCAGTCAGCGAGCTGCTGGAGCGCCGCGGCCGTCCGGCAGACTGCCCAGCCCTGGCCCCAGCCGCGGCAAGCTCGGTGCGACCAGGACGGGTGTAGGAGCTTGGGTGGGTCCCTGCCCACGTCACCACCACGCCCGCCCACCTTCTGGGCCTGTCAGTGCGCCCAGCTTGGCGCCAGTCCATCCAAGCATCTTTGTGGTTTTTCGGGGACGACCAGTTCCCGCTGCCAACAGAGCCACAACTGGCCCACGTCCTGGAGAACTCAAAGAAGGTGACAATATCAACCACAGCCCCTGTTAACGATACTGGGTACCGGCTCGGCGCTAAACGCTTTATTTATATTGTGTTCATTTATTCACAACAGCCCTTGAGAGGTGAGTATAATTATTAGCCCCACTTTTAAGACAGCGAAACTGAAGCAAAGTGGGACCATCTGCTAAGCAAGTGGAGGAGCTGGGATTAGAATCGCTTCTGGGTGACTCGGAAGCCCCCGGAGAATCAAGCATTTTCCGTTGCTCGGACGCGTAGTCCCCAGGCCAGCCACACTCCACCGCGTCGGTGGTCCGAATTGACAGAAGGGGACCTCTCTGCAGTGGACCGCGCGGATTCCGCGTTTCACCCAAACCTCTGAACAGCCAGGGGCTGGGAGAGAATGGACAGGAGCAGGTGCCCGTCCCGACCTGCGTCACCCGCGCTTGCCTTCTCTCGCTGGGTCACGCTCCCCGGGCTGCCGGAGCTAGTGCTCGCACTGGAGCGCGTCCTGCCCCAGGGCTGCAGTGCGGCTCCCGCGCTTCCCCCTGCATTCCCAGCTTCTACCCGGGACCTTTTCTTCTCGGTGGGTAATCGGACGTCTCTCTCTACCTTAAAGAACGCGCCCACCTCTAGTCTCCCTACCACCTTTCCTTCCCGGGGAAGAGGGGTCCACGCGTCCACGAGCCCCACAGCCACGCCCGCAGAGCACTCTTGGGTTCGCCAAGTTTGGACTTTGACCGGCCTCCACTCTCCACTTCACCCCACACTCCAACGAAACTGTTCTGGAGAAAGACAGGAAAAGGAAAGCTGGAGTGAGCTGAATCCCTCTAACAGATTTGTGAAGTCACCCAATGCCTCAGTGAAGAGTCTGGGGAATTTCGGGTGAAATTAGCATTTGCAGAACACTTTTCCAAAGCCAGGCTCAGCGCTGGGCGCTTCCTGTGGTTCATCTCAAGAGTGTACGATTGTACTGTATTTTACGGGACCCACCTCAAATCGCAAACATGGGATTTTTCTTAAAGTAAATAAAACAATAGCATGCAAAATGACCAGGATTTCTGTGTGTACACAGCATGTATGTAATTATACCCTGCAGTGTCCCAAAAAGGATTTAAGACAGATACATACAATCCGAGATAGCGTAAATAAGAGAAAAAAGACAGCTAGTCAATCAAATCAAATAAATCTGGAAGGAGTAGAAGGAAATGCCGAAGGGATCTACAGCCTTGGTGAGGGTGAGTCCCATACTCAGTTTCCCAGCTTCTGAGCAGCCAGCAGAAAAGGAAAACCTTGTTGGAGGGAAGCCCTGAAGTAGCAATTGCAGATAACTCTTTTCTAGGACATCTCTAAAAGGAATGTTATGCTTTGCTAGACAAGACTGATCAGGAAAATGTGCACTTACCATGTGCATGTAGTAAAAAGACCTCATTGCTTACAAAGGGCTTTCACATACATTACTCTCCTTAATTCAGCCCTTGTAATAAGGCTGTGAGCCACTTCACCGATGTGAGGACCTAGCCTAGGAGAGATTTCATGACTTGTTCAAACTTGTGTGGTGAGCGACAGAGCAAGGAACATGCCCCCCAGGAGTTGATCACTACAGCCAGTCAGGCCTAGCTTTGCTGTACATCCCAGCCTCACCAGCTCTGAACAGGAAAACTTTTCTTGTGACTTGGAAGTGGGGATGAGATTAATGCAACCATAGCTTCTGCCTCACAGATATGTTATGACTGGTGATTTCAGTTCCAGGGTAAATTCTGTGGGATTGGGAGTCTCTGCCCGCTCTGAGGATGATTGGCAGGAAGGGAAAGTCAGCTAAGTGAGGATGTGTTTACGCTTTTCCAGCTTGATCAGCCAGGAGCTCAAAAACCAGTTGCCCACAGCAGAGCCAAGCTGTGGTCACTGGGTGTCTGGACCCAGAGCCAAGCAGAGTTCAGGGCTGCCCTGAAGGGTGGGGGAAAAATGGCCCCTTAAGACTACCCGAAGCCCTAATAGTGGACAAGCCTGTGCACATCTCATTCCAGGCACGGTATGCACTCCACCTGTGGGTGGGCCTCTCCCAGTGGGTGGCCTTAGGCTTTTTCACTGTGGCTGGTTACTACTACCACCACAAGACCCCCACTTCTCCCTGGCTCTGAGCCCAATTTTGGCTATCACTTTGACAGATGGGTGAATTCTTAAGTAATTTGATTGTCCTCTGTACTTGGTCATTCCAGCTAATCCTGGTGCTTCGTACCCTCACCTCTGGCACTGGTGTCACCAAGCCAAGGGCCAAACTCTTTACCTTTGACATCGGGGCTCTTGTCTACTTGTTCCTTGTGGGAGAAGCTTTGAATGACTCGCAAGGAACTCAACTGCCTCCTGCAGGTCCTGGTGCCCTATCTGCACCTTCTAGAAGGTGTTCTTGAAAAACTATTTAAGAGAGCTTTAAATCTGGGTACAATTAAAACAGTGCTCTCAGTCAAGAGGAAGGGTGCTAACCTCAACACCCAAAAAGCAAATAACCCGATTAACAAAGGGCAGAGAATATGAAGAGACCATTCTCCAAAGAAGAAATTCAGATGGCCATTAGGCACATTAAAAGATGCTCCACATCACCAATCATCAGGGAAATGCAAATTAAAACCACAATGAGATATCATCTCACACCAGTGAGGATGGCCAGCATCAAAAAGACTAAGAATAACAAATGCTGGTGAGGATGTGGAGAAAGGGGAACCCTCCTACACTGCTGGTGGGAATGTAAGCTAGTTCAACCATTGTGGAAAGCAATATGGAGGTTCCTCAAAAAACTAAAAATAGAAATACCATTTGCCCCCGGAATCCCACTCCTTGGAATATACCTAAAGAATACAACTTCTCAGATTCAAAAAGACATACGCACCCCTATGTTTATTGCAGCACTTTTTACAATAGCCAAGATATGGAAGCAAGCTAAGTGTCCATCTGTAGATGAATGGATAAAGAAGAGGTGGTACATATTTACAATGGAATACTATTCAGCCATAAGAAAGAAACAAATCCTACCATTTGCAACAACATGGATGGAGCTGGAGGACATTATGCTCAGTGAAATAAGCCAGGCGGAGAAAGACAAATGCCAAATGATTTCCCTCATTTGTGGAGTCTAACAGTGAAGCAAAACTGAAGGAACAACATGGCAGCAGACTCAGAGACTCCAAGAATGAACTAGTGGTTACCAAAGGGAAGGGGTGTGGGAGGGCGGGTGGGGAGGGAGGGAGAAGGGGACTGAGGGGTATTATGTTTAGTACACATGGTGTGGGGGATCATGGGGAGAACAGTGTAGCACAGAGAAGGCACATAGTGAATCTGTGGCATCTTGCTGCACTGATGGACAGTGACTGCACTGGGGTATGAGTGGGGACTTGATAATATGGGTAAATGTAGTAACCACATTGTTTTTTCATGTGAAACCTTCATAAGAGTGTATATCAATCACACCTTAATAAAAGATTTAAAAAAAAGAGGAAGGGTGCTCAGGGAAGAAGGAAGTCAAATGATTCCTGACATCCCATCTAAATGCAAGTGTCTGATAGCCATGTCTTAGCTCCAGAGGAATTTGACCAAGTGCTCATTCAGTTTCCTACTCCCAGAGCTGGCACAGGCCTACTCAGAGAGGCGCTGCTCATTAACTGGACAAGTGGATGACTGCCTCAGTGGTGGGATGGTTTTCTCACCCTGAGTCACTAGTCCTTCCTCCTCCCCAAATCCATTCCTTGCTGATGTCCAGTAAATATATATTGAAAGAGAAAAAACAGGAGTCAGCTGTTCAAAGGACTGAAGAACAGGAACAAAACACCCTGGTGTTGGTTTGCAAACTGGCTCCTATACACAAAGGGCAGGGAGAGATGGAAGAAGAGGCAGGCCACTCCGGATTGGTAGGTGGCAGGTTTAAGCATGAGAACTTATGAGGTTTGTCCCAAGCAGCCGCAAGATGAGTAGATCTTCACATCCACCTGCCAGACTCAGAAGTTTATGTAGTGGCCTTAACTAGGTCCAGTCACATACACGGTCCAGATGGTTTCCACACCACTCTACTCTCTCTGTGCTACACCTTGGAACAGGTCTCACTGTGGGAAGGGTGGGCAGAGCACACATTCCAAAGGCAGGGGAGGAGTGAGGAGCCCCCGAAGCCCAGGCCCAGCTCCAGGATCAACCAGCAGTCACGTTCTCTTGAGGACCTCCTGCAACACCTGGCTTGCCGTTATATCAAGGGAAAAGGAACTTGTGTCATTTGCTTGAGAAAAAGAATTAAGCTATGGTGTTTTGCATAGGGCTTAAGGGGGGAAGGTCCTAAACAGATCATGCTATGATCTCAATGAGCTATGAAGGTGTTCAAGCTCACCCTGCTACTCTCTCTTCCCAAAGACCCTTCCACACCCCATGCTACTTTTGTTTGGCTTTTATTTTCAGCTCTGGTTAGTTGTCAGTTCCTCAAAGAGGGCTTTTTCCAGACCTGGTCAGGTTCCTCTTTTGGTGTCCTTATAGCACCCAGTACTTTCTGGTCACAGACCTGGTGGCAGTTTGTAGTTGTACATCCGTGTGTGTGTGTGCGTGTGTGTGTGTGTGTGTGTGCACGCGTGCACATGCACTTGCTGCCCTTTTCCACATTCCCTGAAAAGCAGCACCACTTCTGTTTTGCTCCCCATCGCACCCCTAGCACAGGGGCTGGCTCTTAGTTGATATTCAAAACCTATCTGATGGAGAAAGGAATGGATGGATTATACTATTTTATGCTCAGAACAATGTCGGGCTTTCAGTGTTGTACTTACCTCATTCTCGCCTGAGAAAGGTGGAACCCAGA